AAAATAAAACATTCATCTTCCAACTGAGGTTATTCAAGCCAATGTCAGTTTTAAGTGGCATGTGATCTAAAGCTGCCTTTTTTTTTAGAAAAATGGCATTTTCACCTAAAAGCCACAAAATATCTAACAGTGAAAATGGAAATATCAGAAAAAAAGGCAGTAGTTTGCGGTTAAGACATGTTGTTAAAGAAATAATGTCTTCTACTCTGCCTCTTTTATACTTGAGCTCATAGTATTTCATAACAACACTGAAGTCTCAGAATTCCTGACACTGGGAGGATGATGCATAAAAATCTGGATATAGTCCACGATATTGATGCTTTGTTTAATTCGTCATAAACCCTACCAGAAGAAGAATCACTTAATGTTTAAAACCACCCATTTGATTTTCCCTTGGAATCTTTTCAGTGGAATAGATGAGTTAATCATTAAGCTGTTCTTCTCTACTTGTTCCGACCACTTGTATCTGCCTTAGTTCTTCTGATGGTGGAACCCAGTACGAGACAGAATGTTGTTAAAACAAGAAACAAAAGTAGAAATTGCTGGAGAAACTCAGCAGGTCTGGCAGCATCTGTGGGAGAAAGCTCAGTTAATGGTTGAAGTCCAGTCACCTTTCTTCAGAATATGTAAAGAATTGGAAGTTAGAAGCCATTCCATTTAAATTTGTTTCTTGTAGAAACTAGCAAATATGCTCGCAGGATCTGTATCCAGAACGTATCCTATGGCAACATCATCCATTTAGGCATTCATGTGAGATTAAATGTGACAAAAAGCTCCTACAGAACCTCTCTTTATTTTTACAGCAATAAATGAAAATGTTATTTGATTATTGCTAACAATTGTGGAATTGATGTAAAGTATCAAAAGAATCACACATGTATGTTAGAAGAGACTGGACAAGGCGAGAGAAAAAAATGTCAAGAAAGAAAAAATAAGCTTAGTGGGACTGCAATAGGCTGAAATGATGGGTCTGCAGGGCAAGCCTGTTTTGTAGATTTTGGGAAAAGGGTAGAAGCAAACTGCACACAGTTAGGGTCGATGAGTTAGGAATCTCTGGGTCTGTGGATATTAACCAGGTTTTGTAAGAGAGTAGAAATTCATTTAAGGAACAAGTCATTTTCAGAGCAAAAGCCAAAGACGCCTAGACAACTGAATGTGGAGGTGCCGGTGTTGGACTGCAGTGGACAAAGTCAGAAATCACACGACACCAGGTTATTGTCCAACAGGTTTATTTGCTCTGAAAACTTGTGTTTTCAAATAAACTCCCTGTTGGACTATAAACTGTTGTTGTGCGATTTCTAGACAGCTGGAGGCACAGATACTAGAGGCTTAGAAACAAGTTTCTCTTTAGCCCTGACTGAAGGTTCTGGAAAAGTGAAGGGTTTTATATTGATGTCAAATTGGACTTCAACTGTTAATTCTGGGCAGAATCCTCCCAGCTCCTTACTGATGTGGGCGTGAGTGAGTCAATTGGGAAAATAGGTGAGATCAGCAGAAATGAGTTTCTTGAAGTTGACAGAATGAAATCCAATTCTTCAAACAGGTTTTGAAAAGTGAGATGTCAATCTCACTAGTGAGCTGCAAGAAGTCTAGCTGCATGCAGTAGCATGTCAATGTTACCTAAATTCACTTCATTGATTTGCAGTTTCCCATTATTACATCTATCCGATACAAGTTGGATGTCGATAATTCCCGACATGTAAGTCAGAGCAAGTACCTGACAACTCACACTCACCGGTTGTCCTCCAGACCTCCAGCTTGGGCAGCAGTGCCCACCATCTCGGTGCATGCTCCATGAGCAGTAGCCACCCTCAACCCCTATCCATGGGCGGAGGCACCATTCATGAATTAGCTCTCAACACCCATCATGGCACAGGTCTGATCCATTTACAATATGGTTCTGTACTTCAATGTGTAACACTGTTGCCAGAACAATTTCTGGCTAAGGACAGGGACTCAACTTGAGGATTGCTGAATGCTCTCTTAGCACTTGCTTACCTTGTGCCACTTGGATGGTCAGGGCGTCTTTGCCTTTTTGCACTTTTCTGCCTCAGCCAGGGCTTAAAGGCTCATAGTACTTCTGTCTTGATTTAATATCTGCACTGACATAAAGCCAGGCAGTGTGTCACGATTGTCAGTAGTCATCAGTCAGGGGGAAGACATGTCGCTTTACCCATGTGTCTAACATCTGCATCATGTGCCAGCTGATGCAGGAAACCGATTATACATGCATGACCCCCAACTAACCATTCCTCAAAGTCTGAGAGGGCTAGTCCTTAATCAAATCAAGGGAGACAGTCTTCAGTCAGAGGGTCCCAGCACAATAAGACAAGGACAGTGTCTGCTACCAGTCCAGGGGCTCAGACACAGTCAGTTGAGGTGGTCTATATCATAACAGTCTCAGGACTGGGTCACGGTTACTGTGCAGATCAATCAGGGGTTGTCTGTCCAAGTCACTGTGGTCAGTGCTGGGTGTACATATAAGAAGGTGATGGTACAAGATTATTTTTCAGAGTGGAGGCCTGTGACCAGTAGTGTATCACAAGAATCAGTGTTAGGTCCACTGCTTTTCATCATTTATATAAATGATTTGGATGTGAATGTAGGAGGTATGCTTAGTAAGTTGCAGATGACACCAAAATTGGTGATGTAGTGGACAGTGAAGAAGATAATCTCAGAGTACAACAGGATCTTGATCGGATGGGCCAATGGACCGAGGAGCAGATGGACTTTAATGTAAATAAATGTGAGGTGTTGCGTTTGGTAGGGCAAACCAGGGCAGGTCTTATACGGTTAATGGTAGGACCCTGGGGAGTGTTCCCGAAAAAAGAGACAGAGGGGTGTAGGTGCACAGTTACTTAAAAGCAGTATCACAGCCAGACAGGGTGGTGAAAAGGCAGTTGGCACACTTGCCATCATTGGTCAGTGCATTGAGAGTAGGAGTTGGGGCATCACATTGAGGCTATACAGGCCATTATTGTTTCCCAGGGAAGGGAGTCCAGAGCTAGAAGGCACAAGTTTAAAGTGAGAGGGGTAAGATTTAAAAGGGACCTGAGGACCAACTTTTTCACACAGAGGGCAGTGCATATATGGAGTGAGTTGCCAGTGGAGGTGGGTATAATTACAACATTTAAAAGGTATCTGGATGGGTACCTGAATTGGAAGGGTTTAGAGGGATATGTGCCAAATGCTGTCAAATGGGACTAGATCAGTTTAGGATATCTGGTTGGCATGGAGAAGTTGGACCGAAGGAGTCTGTTTCCGTGCTATACGACTGTATGACTCCATAAGTCAAGGAGGTTCATCATGGGCCATTCCTTTGGTAAAAAAACTGGGGAACTGAATTGTGGGGACTGAAGGCAGTATGCTTACGTGCAGAGGCGAGACCAATCGTGAAGGAAGGTGACTCACCGTAAAAGGGGGCTGGTGAGATATTAGAGCATGGAAGGGAAGGAAGTAACATAGGTGGTGGAGGAGAACATTAGCACTCAGCATCACTCTGGCTTCAACAGGGGTTAGTGCATTATTATGTTTGGCACAATGATGCAATATATCTGGGACTTGGGGTGAGTGGGGTGTAAACTGGGGAGCTGTACACTTCAATAAGTGGAAACCAAAAGAACTGCAGATGCTGGAAATCAGAAACAAAAACAGAAAGTGCTCGAAAAGCTCAGCAGGTCTGGCAACATCTGTGGAGAGAAATCAGAGTTAACATTTTGGGTCAAGTGACCCTTCCTCAGAACAGTCCTGACGAAGGATTTCAGCCCAAAACATTGACTTCCATGCTCCTCGGATGTTGTCTGACCGGCTGTACTTTTCCAGCTCCACATTTATTGACTCTAGCTTCCAGCATCTGCAGTCTTTACTGTCACCAAGTTGATCAAAACTGATGGAATGGACAGGGAGAGCAATAGGAAAGGAATGTGAAGATTTGGGGGTGTCACCTAGACTGACAGGCTGAGTCTAATCTCATTATGTGAAACATGACTGCTATTTCCTTTCATTCTCATCCAAATCACAAGTGTGCAAAGGAAATGAAAGAAGCTGTCACCACACCTAGAGTGGATGGAGTAAATGTTTCATTCCATGGGGCAGGGACTTCCACTTTTGTGAAATTTGAGGCCCTTCAAAGCACAATAGCATTAAACAGATGAAGACACCTGTGACCACAGAATGCCATAGGACCTTACAGCATCCCATTAACCTACTGTGTCAATAACAAATCTTAGCCTCAAGCAATCTCATCCACATCACGCAAGATGACAAAGCAATTGCATTAATGCCCATGATGGTGAGAATACATGCCCAAAGTCACTCAATCCAAAGGTACAGGTTGTTATGTCATGTTATGATGTTCAGCGACTCTCCAATGAAACACTGGGGGCGGAGGGGTGTTTCTTTTTTGATCAGCTGCAGAGACATGGCAGCAAAGTGCTCACCCGTGTATGTTCCTGGCTCTAATCTAAAAGCACCCACTGAAGTGTCTGTGTCTAATTTGGTGGAGGATGCAGCAAGCAGCTTTCCTGGTGCATCCTTTGAGGGATTTGTGGCTTCTTCTTCAGCAGCACAGCAAAGAGCAACTAATCTCACTTACAGAGAAAGCATGACCACAGATATGGTCACGGTCCTCTCCAGCTTAGGGCAAGGGTCTTCTCCTTGTAAAGGATAAACAGAAAAATGTCAGGCACCCCATCACCTGTCTTGGCTCATAGTGTATGCCATTTTCTGCTGCAATGAGACAAAGCGAGGGATTGAGTGAAATAAAAGTGGCTGACACAGCTGTCAGTGCTGGTACAGGTGGGGAAAAGGTGGTAAGATGTGCCAAGGCAGTGAGTTGACAGCAGAGATCATGCAGGGTTAGCAGCCTGGGTGGGTGAGAGCAGGTGAGGCAAGATGCTGCAGGCAGTAGTGAGTGATAGACCATGAGCGTTGGTGGAAGGTGGGTCTGTAGCTGAAACAAAGCGAGTGTAAGGTAGCAGAGAGAAGACGATGGCAATTACCCTCGTGGAGCAGCAAAGGTCATTGATCTTCTTGCAGCACTTCAGGGCATTTTCCAGACCACTGACTCTCATGGCATCTTCGTCATCATCTAGTGTGGCAAGGTCTGGTGGCCTGATCTCTTCCATCAGAATCAGAGGAAGGAGATGGCACAGTGGTTCAGTGGTTAGCACTGCTGCCTCATAGCACCAGGGACCCAGGTTCAATTCCAGCTTTGGGGGACTGTCCGTGTGGAGTTTGCACATTCTCCCTGTGTCTGCGTGGGTTTCCTCCGGGTGCTCCGGTTTCCTCCCACAGTCCAAAGATGTGCAGGTTAGGCGGATTGGCTGTGCTATAGTGTTCAGGGATGTGTAGCTTGGAGGATGGGTCTCAGTGGGATACTCCAAGGGTTGGTGTGAACTTGTTGAGCCAAAGGGCCTGTTTCCACACTGTAGGGATTCTATTGTAAAATGAGATAACTCACCCTCTAGACCACCTCATCCACCAGGACATGGAGGTTCCTGCCAGAAAATTGGAGTGGCAGCTAGCTGCTATTCACCATCTCCAGGGCAATTCTTTATACACAGGAACCATAAAGGGCAGCTCCAGACTGACAATGCAGACAATAAGGACTGCAGATGCTAGAAGCAAGAGTCTATAGATGTGAGGCTTCTGATGAAGGGTTTCAGCCTGTAACATTGACTTAGCTACTCCTCTGATGCTGTCTGACCTGTTGTGCTTTGCCAGCCTCACACCTATAGACTTCAAGTTGACAGTGTCTGAATTGATTGGCAACTGCGTTTCAAATATTATGTTGACACCTGGAATCCTAGCAGGTCCTGGTAGTAGTGCGTACTTGCCTCTCTGGTGAGAGGCCAGATAGGACAAGTGTGGCACCCGATAGGCAGGGTGCATACGTAATGAAGTGAGTTTCAGAGAACAGTGTAAGAAATTTCACTCAGGCTCAAAGAAATAAACCCTAAGGAAAACTCACCAAAATTGACACTGCTGATTTCTGGTAAAATTCAGCTTCCTGTTTTTGTCTCTCCACAGATGTTGCTAAACGTGTGGAGTTTCTCCTGGGCTTTGCTTTTATTTCAGACCACTGGTATTCACAGTATTTTGCTTTTATTTTAATCCCTAATAGCTGCCTCTTTTATTTTTTCTTGGGCTCACCTAATCTCTTTTTCTTTGGCTTGGCCTGAATCTACTTCATGTCTCAGTGATATGCCTTCGGATGGTGTCCTTCATTTGAACAGACAAACAGCAACTTGCATTTACAAATAATTGAAACCTCAAAAATACTGAAGACAAGAAACAAGTCTAACTTCTCTATGATAATACTATACCTCCCATAGTAGGCAGATTTCATTCAAGTTTGTGACAGTTTTGTAAGGTATGGGCATGCTGGTTAATGCTGTCTTTACATAAATATCTGTTTAGAATACAGTCTGGGCAAATCAAATAAAAAATCCTGCAAAGCCAAAGATTGCAATATTCAAGCTCAATACTTAGATCAATGCTTTTTAAGTTCAGGTTTTCACAACGAGGGAATTCGGAAAGGTCAGTGGCATGTGGCTGGAATTCACTGTAACATTGGAGTTATATTAATCCAGTTCCTTTTTTTGGGGTTAAGATTTACTTTTTTCAGAAAGAAGGCACAGTAACATACTAGCATGATTGAATAATTGCAGATTAGAACAGGCTTTTCTTGTTGTTGTGAACTGTAATTATAACTAGTGGGATTACTACCTATTATCTATAAAAGGAGAGCTTCCGTAGATTGTTGGTGCCACTTCGAACTACTGCGCTTGCACTGAGCCAGGTATTAGAAATTCGACATCGTTCCCCCTTTAGTGAAAATAGGTTACTGTTGTCTTTCAAACAAAGCCTATTCTAGACCCATTAACACATTTCTCCCAATAATTTACAAGAAACCCAATTGAAATCACCCGAGAGAAATCAAAGCCCATTCTTTGTCGCAGTAATATTTACTCTTGGAAACATGTTAAGAGTGTAATGGACGGGTTCTGTTCAATTCTACTTGGTACCTTAACACCATTTCACTTGATTCCTGAAAATGATTTGTATATAAACAGAGTAAGAGTACAGGTGAACGAAAGTGGTTGTTAGGTTTGCCCGCACATTGTCAGGCCGATACTAAGGATTGTGTGCAAGAGTTTTAGTGAGTGGGTGGTCGGGGCTGATGCAGTTGCCCGTTCTCCTTTCTCCCCCCTCTTGCAGCTGATTCTGCGCGCTCTCAACTCAACAACAGCAGCCTGCAGCTCACTTCATTTCTCACATGAGTGCCCTTCTTTAGCCTCTTTTCTCTTTCGCACTTTATATCGGCTTCATTACACGACCGATTCATTTGTAATGTAAATTCCGAAACTTAGGGAAGTTTTCCTTCGCCCTTGTCTGAAAGAATACTAAGAGGTATTCAATACGTATTAACACAAATCAGTGGTAACAGTAAAGCAAATCTCCTTAGCAACATAATCTTGATTGCAAAAGGAGAGCCCAGTGTCACGGCGAGAGCATTTAGGATCCAACAGCCCACATGGAATGGGCATTTATCTACGAGAATGCAGCACAATACCTAGCAGGCAGACAGACTATGAAAAATTCAAAATTAACTCACAGAATTGTTACTCTTTTTCACACGTTAGACAATCGGCTATATTAAATCGATCGTGCAACTTTTCTTCTTAGCAACATTGTACCACACTCCGGCTAAATGGGAGCTAAGCTACTAATGAATGTGCCACAACTGCCTTTGCTTCCTAGCGTTTGATTTCCAGCAGAAGCAGCCTTCAGGATATTTATACGAAAGGCAAAACCTTCCACACACCTCAAACAGAAGCGCCTACTTTACATTTTATACTTGAACACCAATAACAAACTCGATTCCTTTGGTTTTATTTTGTCTTCCGTGCTCCCTCACAATGGTTAAGACCCTTATATTAGCCGGTGTTTTACTAGCTACCGTAAGGACTGAAAATAAAACATGGTTCGTTTGACAAACGGCTGCACTTTCAAAACCTGGTCTACTTTGCAAATGCAAACACTCGGGTTTACAACTCTCCAAACCGTGTCCCATTTCCTTTTAAAAGTCACAATCATTTTAAGCACTTGGCGGAAGAATAGAGGTGCTCAAAGAAAGCATTCCTACGGATTACGTCTGGAAATAGGGATACCAGTGTGCAGATTAATTTACTTCTCTGCGATTTTAGGTCACTTCGCCTTTCCTGAGATCACCCAGGTTTGAGAATTGCATGTTTAAATGAGCGGATTCCTTGTCAGGCTAATAGAGGAAGCCGCTTGCCGGAGTGGGGAGAAATTTGCAATGAAAGAGTGAAGCCCCAGGGTCAAAAGAATTCATACAAGAAAACCATTATTTCCGAATAAAGTTACAGAAGGCAACTTAATTTCTGAAGAAGGGTCTGGGCCCGAAACGTCAGCTTTCCTGCACCTCTGATGCTGCTTGGCCTGCTGTGTTCATCCAGCTCCACACCTTGTTATCTCAGATTCTCCAGCATCTGCAGTTCCTACTATCTCTTAATTTCTCCAATCGTCCACTTTAAAAGTCCAACTTTAATGTACAACTGTGTTGACAACTATGCCACAGATAAATAAAAAGAAAATTCAATCAAGCGGACTGCCATTGGGCCACAGGAACTGCTAGCTTATACCACATTAAGCAGACAATATAACACTCAGCAATCACTGATAGTAGGAACTGCAGATGCTGGAGAATCTGAGATAACAAGGTGTAGAGCTGGATGAACACAGCAGGCTTTTCCGGAGGGAGGAGGGTAACTTCTTCATGCTAGGCATCCTTAGAAGAGGCTTCGCAGCGGGGTTAAAATTGTATCAGAGATAGGCCTGCTGTGTTCATCCAGCTCTACACCTTGTTAACTCAGCAATCACTGCTCTCCTCAGGCTGTGATGCTTGAAGCATTCGAATGCAACTGAAACTCAAGGATATTGGCACCCGCAAATTTGCGTGTATTGCCTGTAACTATTTCAGTGTTGGGAGAAACGGGCTTGGATGATGAGTGCTCAGAATCAAGAGGAATCCTAGTATAAGTCTAGACACAAGAGAAAGGGTACAGGGTAAAAGAAAGGCAATCTGGCTAACTGGGAAAATACAACTCAAGCAAAAATACCCCTGGCAGGGGATTTGATTAAATTGAGTGATAATCATGATGAAAAGGATCGGTCACTTTCTAATTGAGAACAGGATGAATTTCTTCAAAGTAATTGTGAATTTTTGAAATTCACTACCGCAGAAAGTTGTAGATGTTCAGCCATGGAGCACATTCTAGACTGATTTTTTTTGTGGTAAGGAGGTTTAGGAGGTGGGTATAGGGCAGGAAGTTGCATTTGAGGTATATCAGTCATGAGCATGTTGAATAGCAGAGGCAAAGAGCCTATGCTCGTTCCTATTTCTGCCATTATGAGAGGGGAAGGGGTGAGAGTGGAGTGGATCAAGGTATTACAGAAAACCTAGTCTCTTCAGAATGTTGAAAGGAGCAATTTAAGTCCCCCAGCCCTGCAAAGCCCAGTTGTACCTCCTGCCCAAGATCTATCAACTATGTCCACCAGGATGTCCTTAATATCAGTATGGTCTTGCCCCATGGGACTAATTTCTCTTTATTCAGTTTCTGTTCACCTACATCCACAATCTTTTGATGTCCTCAATCAAATTAGCAGCATCTGGTTGCTACGTGTCTCCTTTTCACCACAAAAATCCAAAAGTATCTGCATATTCGGCACGGTTGCTCATTGGTTAGCACTGCTGCCTCACAGGGCCTGGGACCTGGGTTCGATTCCACCCTCGGGCGTCTGTCTGTGTGGAGTTTGCGCATTCTCCTTATGTCTAGGTGGATCTCCTCCCATAGTCACAAAGATGCGTAGGCTAGGTGGATTGGCAATGCTAATTGTCCCCAGTGTTCAGGGATGTGTAAATTGGGGGGATGGGTCCGGGTGAGATACTCTGAAGGCTAGTGTGGACTTCTTGGGCAGAAGGACCTGTTTCCACAGTGTACAGATTCTAGGATGGTCCAAGGTTTTGGTTTATTGCTTGACTGAATCCCTCTTCTTCCTGGCATAACATGTTCTTGCATTAACTTCTCATCTGAGTCCA